GGGGGGGTGCGGCCCCATCCTTGTGCCTTCCCTGGGATAAACTCCCCCCCAGACTTACTTGCAAAGCTAACTCTGACACTGCTGAGGGGTCAGCTCTGTCCCCTGCCCGCCCACAGCCTCCCCAGGGCCCTTTCCCCACATCCCTGAGAGCTCTGTGCCCCCCAGCCATGAATCCGCCCTCCTGAGCCGTTAGTGCTCGTTAGTGCTCGCTGTGGGGCTCCTTCCTGCGGAGGAGCTGGGGTGAGTCAGAGCCCGCTCGCACAGCGGTGGGGGAGGAAGGTTTCTCTTCCCTCTGAAACCAGGGAAACTAAAGAGTAAAAAACCCGCATGTACTTGAAAATCCCTGTGGGGCTGGGCGGCTCTCACCCCAGGGAGAAGCTCTGCTGCCCTGCCCAAAGAAAGCCCGGTGCTGCTCCCTCCTGCTCCCTCCTGCTGGGGCTCGGGCTGGCCCTGGCACCGGTGGCTGCAGGGAACGGGCTGGGAGTCCAGGAAAAGCCCCAGGAGTGGGGTTTCTCTCACGCTGGGGGGGCTGCCCCACGGTGCTGTTACCCCATCCCCTGTGGATTGCTCACGGCTGTGCCCCATGGGGAGCCCTGGTGAGCCGCCCCCCTCACACGGGGAGCCCTGCTGGGCCCTGCTGAGCTGCGTGGGCTGTATTTTGGGCGCAGGGAGAGGTGGGGTGGGAGCTGGGGCTGGCAGTGACTGGCTGCCTCGGCGGGGAGAGGAAGCAGCACCCGCGGCTGCTCGGGGCTGGGAAGCCCGGGGTGGTTCCTGCCTGCGGTGACGCTGTCTCCCAGTGTGGCTGCAAGGCTGCCAGCCCCCCCGAGCAGCACTGGCGTGGGGGGGTCTCCCCAGAGCGGAGCAGAGGGGCAGAATCCCCCCCCTTGCCCTGCTGGCTGTGCTGCTGAGGATGCAGCCCAGGATGTGAGGGGCTTTCTGGGCTGCCAGCCCACATTGCCAGCCCATGGCCAGCTTTCCTCCCCCCCCAGCTCACCCAAGCCCTTCTGGGCAGGGCTGCTCCCCACCCCTCTATCCCCAGCCTGGGCCGGGACTGGGGGGAGCCAGGAGGGAGCTGTGGTCACCTCCTGGCCCTTCTGCCCCCTCTCCGTGGGGTGGTTGTGGGGAAGGGGCCGGGCGCCAAACTGTGAAACTGTGCCCCACTCACTGCCTGCTCCCTCTCTCCGCAGGTGGGGCAGGTCTTCCTCTACTTCCAGTGGTAAGTCAGCCCCACCTCGGCCCTTCCATTGCGCTGACCCGGGGGGCTGCTGTGGGGTCTCTGTGCCGGGGGAGCTGGGCCACAGCTTGCCCAAGCCCCCTGGCATGCAGGGCTGTGTCCCCTCGGGCAGCAGTGACCTGGCTTCCCACCTTCGGGAAGGGGTGACAGGCCAGCCAGCCCCTTGGCACCCCAGGCTGTGGGTGCAGAGCTGCCCCACGGGTCTGTGGCAGTTCACACACGCCCTGTGTGTCCCCAACAGGGACAGCCTCCTGCTGGAAGCAGGGTTCCTGGCGGTGCTGGTGGCCCCCCTGCACCTCCTGAAGTGGCGGTCCACAGCCTGGCGTCCCCACGACAGTGTCACCTTCTGGCTGGTGCGCTGGCTCCTCTTCCGGCTCATGTTTGCCTCCGGCGTGGTGAAGCTGACCAGCCGCTGTCCCACCTGGTGGGGGCTCACAGGTGAGGGGTGGCACGGGCTGGGGGGTGGCACAGGCTTTTGGGGTGCCTCTGCCAGGCAGGGGGGGTGAGGAATGCCCTCAGGCTGTGCCTCCCGTGCCCCATAGGCAGCTGTGGGGCTGTGGGTGACTGTTGCCAGCACCTCTCCCGTGTTGGGCACAGCTCTGTGTCAGCTCTGCCTGCTCCGAGCCGTGTCCCCGCACCCCTCCCCGCACCCCTGACCCCTCCTTTCCCCCCCCAGCTCTCACCTATCACTACGAGACCCAGTGCATCCCCACGCCCGTCGCCTGGTTTGCCCACCAGCTGCCCGTCTGGTTCCAGAAGTTCAGTGTGGTGGCCACCTACGTCATCGAGATCGCTGTCCCGCTCCTCTTCTTCGCGCCCATCCGCCGCCTCCGCCTCTTCGCCTTCTACAGCCAGGTGGGTGGGCAGAGCCGGGCCCCCCGCTCCTGCTCCGGGTGCTGTGGGGGCTCCCCAGGGGCAGGGACAGAGCTGGGCCCCCCACTCCTTCTCTGAGTGCCATGGGGCTCCATAGGGGCAGGGACTCAGCTAGGCCCCCCCACTCCTGCTCTGGGTGCCATGGGGCTCCACAGGGGCAGGGACAGAGCCAGGCTCCTGCTCTGGGTGCCATGGGGCTCCCCAGGGGCAGGGACAGAGCTGGGCCCCCCACTCCTTCTCTGAGTGCCATGGGGCTCCATAGGGGCAGGGACTCAGCTAGGCCCCCCCACTCCTGCTCTGGGTGCCATGGGGCTCCACAGGGGCAGGGACAGAGCCAGGCTCCTGCTCTGGGTGCCATGGGGCTCCCCAGGGGCAGGGACAGAGCTGGGCCCCCCACTCCTGCTCTGGGTGCTGTGGGGGTTCCCCAGGGGCAGGGACAGAGCCGGGCCCCCCACTCCTGCTCTGGGTGCCGTGGGGTTCCCCAGGGGCAGGGACCCCACTCCGCACAGGGGCAGGACAGGCTCCTTGCTCTGCAGGCCCCTTGCAGGCAGGACTCTGGGTGCTGGGGTGGCCCCACTGCTGCTGGGGGTGCCTGAGGTCCTCTGCCCCCCAGCACTGTGACATCCCAGCCCTTCGCTCCTCCCCAGGTCCTGCTGCAGGTCCTCATCATCCTCACGGGTAACTACAACTTCTTCAACATGCTGACCATCGTCCTGGCCTTCTCCCTGCTGGACGAGGAGCACGTGGGGCCCTGGCTGGGCCGCAGCAAGAGGAGACACACCAGCAGTGAGTCCCCTCTCTCTGGGGAGGTGGGGTCCCCTTTCTGCCGTGCCCGGGGTGGGGAGGGGACAGGCCACCGTCACTGACCATCCCAGTCTGGGTGTGACAGTGAGAGGCATCATTCTGGCTGCCCCGTGGCTCGGTGCTGTGGGAGCTGCTGCCCCCTGGGATGGGGGGTCTGTGTCCATGGGGTGCTCCATTGGGGTTCCCCATGAAGCAGCGTGTTGGCTCCTGCTGTGGGGTTGTGCCCAGCACTGCCCGCTTCATGCCCAGGCTCTCGGGCCACCCTTTATCCCCCCCCTCGGTGGGTCGGGCTCACCGAGCCCCCAGCACTCAGTAGCCCTGCTCTGTGGCAGCCTGGCCCCCCAGCCTGCGGTCCTTCCTCTCCACCATGGTGGAGCTCAGCGCCTACGCCCTCCTGCTCTACTGGAGCGCCCAGTACTTCGGCCTGGAGATCAACTGGGAGAAGAGGCTGCTGGACTCCAAAGTGGGTACGTCACAGCTGGACCCGCAGGGGCTACCAGCCCGTTGTCCCCATGGCCCAGCCTGGTGCCCTGCTCCCTCTGTGGCTCGAGAGGCTCCTCGCTGACCCCGTGGGTTTTCCTTCTCCCCAGCCTTCACCTACCACGAGTTCACCATGTGGCTGCAGGTGGTGACCCTGCCGCTGGTGGGGCTGGCCTTCCTCTCGCTCGCCTGGGAGATCCTCCTCGCCCTGTACAGGTGGGTGTTGGGGAGGCTGGGCCCCCCCAGGGCCCTGAGGCTCTGCTCTGGGGGGCTGGGCAGGAACGGGGTGGCCAGTGCCATCCCCAGGGGTGAAATCCATGTGTGGAGGGATGTGGGGGAGCTGGCGTGGGGTGCTTGGAGTCAGCGTGGGGTGGGGGGTGCTGGGTGACTCGGGAGGGATGTGGGAGTGGGGCTGAGCCCTCCACAGCTTTGGGCACAGCGTGGGGGGGGCTCTGGACCCCACGACTCACCACGGCAGCCCCAGCCCTGTGGGGCTGTGCGCCCCTGACCCGTTTCTGCCCCATTTGCAGGTGTCTCTGCGTCCGCGGCTGCTTCTGGAAGCTCTGGGCCACGCTGCAGTGGGCAGTGTTCACCACGGCCACCGTGGGGATGTTCGCCATCAGCCTGGTGAGGGGCTGGGCAGGGAGGGGACGGCGGGGGACACCCGTGTCTCGGGGTACAGGGAGCAGGAGGCTCCTCCTGGCCCCCCCGAGCCGCTCTGCCCCACGGCGACGGAGCCGCTCTCTGCCTCCCCCCAGGTGCCCTTCACCTACATCGACCACGAGTCCAACAGCCAGCTGTGGCCTGGCATCCGCCAGATGTTCAAGGCCGTGGAGCGGTACCAGGTGGTGAACTCCTACGGGCTGTTCCGCAGGATGACGGGCGTCGGGGGGCGGCCCGAGGTGGTGCTGGAGGGCAGCTACGACAAGCAGAGCTGGACGGTGAGCTTCCCCCTTGGCACAGCCACAGAGTCCTTGTGGTTGGAAAAAGACCCTTGATACCAAGTCCAACCATGGACCCAGCACTGCCAAACCCACCACTGACCCATGGCCCTCAGCACCACGTCTGCCCGGCTTTCAAATCCCTCCAGGGATGGGGACTCCACCACTGCCCTGGGCAGCCTCTGCCAAGGCTTCACAACCCTTTTGGGGAGGACATTTTCCCCAATCTCCATCCTAAACCTCCCCTGGGGCAACCTGAGGCCGTTTCCTCTTGTCCCATGGCCTGTGGGTTGGGAGAAGAGACCAATCCCCCCCTGGCTGCCCCCTCCTTTCAGGGAGTTGGAGAGAGCGAGAAGGTCTCCCCTCAGCCTCCTTTTCTCCAGGCTGAACACCCCCAGCTCCCTCAGAAGTTCTCCAGACCCTTCTCCTTGGTCTCCAGCCCCCTCCCCAGCTCCGTTGCCCTTCTCTGGACCTGCTCCAGCCCCTCAAGGTCTTTTTTGTAGTGAGGGGCCCAGAGCTGGACCCAGCCCTCGAGGTGGGGCCTCACCAGTGCCCAGTTCAGGGGGACGGTCACACTGGTCCTGACACAGGCCAGGGTGCTGTTGGATTTGTGGCCACCTGGGCACACTGCTGGCTCGTTTTCAGTCACTTCGTCCAACACCCCCAGGTCCTTTTCCACCATTTCCAGCCCCTCTCCCCCCAGCCTGGAGCGTCCATGGGGTTGGGGTGAGCCCAGGGCAGGACCCGGTACTTGGCCTTGGTGAATTGAGTTCAACAATCCATTGGGGTGCTAGGGGGGCTGTGGGGAAGGGCTGAACCGTGGCTGAGGAACAGACTCCAGTGCAGCCAAGTGTCCCTGTCCCCCTGTAATGGTCTCCTCTGGGGCACCCAGCTGTCCCCCCGTGGGCTTTGTCCCTCTGCAAGGAGCCCGTAACCCTCGGGGGGCCATGGGGGTGAGTCGGGGGGAGCTCTGCCTGGGGACAGCCGGGGCTGGGGGAGGTTCCACATCCCACCCAGCTGCTGGAGGCCCCCCAGCCCACTCTGCTCCTTTCCCCACAGGAGATCGAGTTCATGTACAAGCCCGGCAACGTCAGCGTGGCCCCCCCAGTGGTCGCCCCCCCCCAGCCCCGCCTGGACTGGCAGATGTGGTTCGCGGCGCTGGACCATCACACCAACAGCCCCTGGTTCACCAGCTTCGTGTACCGCCTGCTGCAGGGCAAGGGGGACGGTGAGCAGGGCCGGGGGGGTGGGGGGCACGCTGGGGGGCACACT